TTTTTTCCAAATAATTAGAATTACTGTTATCAGCACACCATGTGGATATCCTGCTTTCACTCTCATGCAGTGTAAACAGGTCTTTATTGCTCCTTAGCAACACCAGGAACACAAGCACATTTACGATCTAAAAGCAGAAAGTCTAAATTCAGGTGCTGGCAATTGAGAAAATGAAACCTTGGTCTAATTCTTTGAAGTTGCTAAAACCATAGTAGTGGAGACATTTATTTCAGAGTTTCTCCAACTATGAGAGTGTTAATACTCAAATTTACATATTCAGTTAGACTTGGAAGTCCAGATCCCTCTTCCTCTCTAACCAATCATGTAAATATATGGTAAAGAATAATTTATTTTTTTTCTCTAGGACTTATTGTAGTTTTTTTGGGGAATGAAGAAAATGACTGGAACACCATTATTTTTTTAACATATAAATGTTACTAGTTGTATAACCTTAGACAAAGTGCCTTACGTTTCTAATCTAAAAGTACCTCTTAGGGGGACAAGGAATAAAATAAAAAATAGATATTAAATATGTCTTTACTCTGCTTACTATGATATAAGCTAACAGTGGCTATTATTTTAAAACAATGCAAGTTACAGAGTCAATGTAATTCCAGTCATAATGCCAGCAGGTTCTTTTTGTTTCGGTGGCTGGCCAGTTTTGAAATTAATTTGGAAATGCAAAGGACCTAATAAAATCAAAGCAATCTTGAAAAAAGAAGATTAAAGACAGGCAAACTTACATTATCAGACTTCAGGTGAAAGTAATCAAGACATGTTGCTGAGACAAAGCCAGTCATGGAACAATGGAACACGATGAAATAGAATAAGGAGTCCAGAAATAGACCTGCTCATACATGGAGACCTGATTTAGCACAAAGACACCATGGTAATTTGGTGAGAATGAATGGAAATTTCAATAAATAGTGCCCAGTTAACTGGATTTCTGTATGCTAAAAAACAAAAACAAACTGAAACTTGGACATTCATACCTTACACAGAAATTAATTCAAAATGCATTATGAACCTAGAGGTTAACAAAAAAGAAAATGAAAAAGCCTTCAAATGGAAATAGGGCAATATTTTCATGACCTTGGGTAGGCAAAATGTCTTTTCCCCCAACTTTATTATGAAAAACTTGAAAGATGTTTATTGTAAATACCTATATACGCATACCCTAATTTGTACTATTAACAATTTACCCTACTTGTTTATTCACATTAAATTATAACAAATTTTCTATCTCTAAGGAAGAAATCCTAGGTTCACCTAGGAAGAAATTTCATAATTATGTATTTTTTTCATTCCATCATATACATATACAGCAGTCATAGACTAATAATACTAATATTATCACAAATTAGATTATTAACCAAAGGATTTTAATATGATTTGGGGTTCTTATTCTTTTTAGCTTGTATCCTATTAGAAATGTAAAAATAATTATGTTTTAAATTCATTTGAAATATTTTCTAACTTGATTATACTATCAGTTCATAGTTCTTTTGCTTCATTTTACTCTGATTTTTTAAAGGATGACTTACTTAATTTTCTTTTATATTTACCTAAAATGTACATGATTTTAAACTCAGATTGATGGAACTAATATATTAAAAACGTGTATTTTTCTATTCCTGCACATACCACCTTGTTTCCTCCCACCTCTCCATAAACAATCATTATTTAAAATTAGTTAATTTTGCTTTAGCCTACCATTGTCTTATTTTAACATGATAAAAAATGCCACCTTTTTCTTTGTTTTCATTTTGAATAGCCTTTATATTTTTAGGGCATTTTTATCTTCACAACAAGGTTGAGCAGAAGGTATAGAGATTTTCCTTACACTCCTTGCCCTAATACGTGCATAACCTCCTCGTTACCGACATGCTCCACCTGAGTGGTAAAGGTGCTACAATTGATGAACCTACATTAGAATTCACTCCACTCATCACTCCTTTCCCCTTAACCCCTGGCAACCACTGATCGGTTTACTGTCTGCTTAGTTTATTCTTGAATATCGTATAGTTGAATGTCATACAGTATGTAGTGTTTTCACTGACCTCTTTTCACTTAGTAATAGGCATATAAGTTTCCTCCATGTCTTTTTGTGGTTTTAGAGCTCATTTCTTTTTAGTGCTAAGTAATACCCCATTGTCTGGTTGAACCTGTTTGTTTATCCATGTAACTACTGAAGGACATCTTGGTTACTTCCAGGTTTTGACAGTTATGAATAAAGCTGCTGTAAACATCGTTGTGCAGGCTTTTATGTGGACATAAGTTTTCAACACCTTAGGGTAAATACTAAGAAATGCAATTGCTGGATCATATGATAAGAATATGTTTAGTTAGGCAAGAAACTGCCAAACTGTTTTTCAAAGTGACTGTACCATTTGGCATTTCTATTACAATGAATGAGAGTTCATGTTGCTCCACACCCTCGCCAGGATTTTCTGTTGTCACTGTTGTGGATTTTAGCCATTGTGAAAGGTGTGTGGTGTAGTGGTGTATCATTGTTATAGTTCACATTCCCCTGATGACATATGACATGGAGCAACTTTTTATCTGTTTACTTGCTGTATCTCTGGTGAGGTGTCTATCAAAATCTTTGGCCCACTTTTAATTGTGTTTTTTGTTTGCTTAGTGTTATGTTTTAAGAATTCTTTGGATTACAGTCATTCATCAGATGGGTCTTTTGCCAATATGTTCTCCCAGTCTATAGCTTGTCTTTTCATTTCCTTGACGTTGCTTTGAAATTAATATGCAATTGATTTTAATGAAGCCCAGCCAATCAATTCCTTCTTTCATGAATTGTGCTTTTCATATCGTATCTAAACAGTCATTGCTATGCTCAAGGTCTTCTAGATTTTCTCTTGTATTATCTTCTAGAAATTTTATAATTTTGCATTTTCCATTTAGGTCTGTGCTCAGATTTGAGTTATTTTGTGTAGGGTATAAATTCTGTGTCTAGATTCATTTTTTTGCATGTGGATGTCCAGTTGTTTTGGAGCAACGTGTTGAAGAAACTACCTTTGGTCTATTGTATTGCCTTTGCACCTTTCTCAAAGATCGGTTGATTACATTTACAAGGGTTTCTCTCAGGGCTCTTTGTCCCATTCCATTTACCTATTGGTCTATTTTTTTTTTACCTTCCTCCTGTCCCTTCCTGGATCTTTTGTTTGATGTCTGACATTAATTTGGGGAAATTCTTAGTCACTGTGATTTCAAATATTTCTTCTGTCCCTTTTCCTCTTTCTTCTCCTGGCATTCCCAGTATACACGTGTTTGTACCTTTTGTATCTGTCCCACAGTTTTCGGGTATTCTGGGAATATTTTTTTCAGTCTTTTTTCTGTATATATATATTTATATCTTTCAGCTTTGGAGGTTTCTATTGAGATATCCTCAAGTTCAGAGATTCTTTCGTTAGTTGTGTCCCATGTACTAGGAAGAGCAAAAAAGGCATTCTTGTTTATTGTTAATAGTATTTTTGATCTGTAGCATTTCTTTGTTTTTTTCTCCTTTAGATTTTCATCTGTCTGCTTACACTGCCCATCTCTTCTTTCATGCTGTCTGCTTTTTCCATTAGAGCTCTTAGCATCTTAGTCATAGTTGTTTCAAATTCCTGGTGTGATCATTCCAACTTCCTGCTGTATCTGTGTCTGATTCGGATGCTTACTCTGTCAATCCAAGCTCTGTATTTTGCATTTCAGTGTGTTGTATCTGTGTTTGATAGCCAGGCCTGATGTGCCGTGTACAGCCCCAGCTGCTGTAAACAAGCCTTAAGTGACGTGAGGAAGCTGGGGAGTGGGGGAGGGAAGCGTCCTGTTCTCCTGTGGTTAGGTCTCAGGCTTTCAGTAGCCCCTGCCCCGGCCTGTGAGCTTCACAGGTGTTGTACCTTTTCCCCCCACTCAGGTGAGACAGGTTGGCAAGCACGGGCTGCGGTTTGGCATTCCCCGCCCCCACCGCGCCCCAGTGGGCGTCTAGAGGCAGCTGGGCTGCGTGCTGCCCGTGCTGCCCGCCTTGCAGGCGCTGATCAAGCCCCAGCGGGCTGGGCTCTGGTGAAGTAGTCTCTCCAGAGGGCAGGCTTTGTTAGGAGGAACAGAACGCTCTGGCGTGTTTCAAAATGGTTCTTTCTCCCCTCCTCCTGCCAGAAGCACGAGGAGGTTTTTCTCCCTCACTGTGAGAACCCGGTAGAACTCCAGGAGATTGAAAAAAAAAAAGAGAGAAGTCCGGAGGCCCCTCCTCCCCCATCTCAGATGACTGGACTCCCCTGGAGTTTTTACCACTTGGACTTGTCCATCCTGAGCCTGCAGCGTTTAGCCATTTCAGATGCCTCGTCACTGGGACCTGAAGGTGTTGCAGCTCGCTGGGCTTCTGCTCTGGTAAGTTAGCGCGCTCGGTGTTTGCCTGCCTCTCCACGTTGCGGGGGGGGGGCACGAGGGGGACAGTGTACCCAGGGACCTCACTTCTCTTTCAGTTCCAACAAGAGATGATGCTTTTTCAGTTTGTGCAGCATTTTACTTGTTGGTGTTGATGCGGGAAAACAGGTGTGGGGCGTGAGGAGGGCCGCGTCCCAGGCTTCGGCTGAGCCCCTGGGTCATGTCCCGCCAAGTGTGGGTCCTGGGCTTCGCGCAGGAAAGAATTCAAGAGCGAGCCACAGTTGAGTAAAGGTAGATTTATTTAGAGAGATACATTGAAAAGCAATAGAAAGGCCACGAGGTGTGGGGGTTGGGTGCGGATTAAAAGTAGGTACACATTCCGTAGACAGAATGCGGGCTGTCTCGGAAGAGGGAGAGAGAGGGGCGCAAGTTGCTGTGTTGCCAGTTTTTATGGGCTTGGCGGCTTCATATGCTACGAAGTGGAAGGACCAGTCTAAGGGGAAGGGGCTGGGATTCCCAGGCAGGTGGCCATTTCCCACTCTTTGACCTTTTGTGGCCAGCCTTGGGACTGCCATGGTGCCTGTGGGCGTGTAATTCACCATGCTAACATATTACAAGGAGCGTATAGTGAAAGTCAAGATCTGCTAGAAGTCAAATCTCCCACCATCTTGAGCCTCAAGGCCTACTGGGGGTTGAATCCCTCACCGTTTTGATGTTAATTGCTGTAGCATTCCTTGAATGGCAGTGCCCTGCCCCCATCCTGTCTCAGTATGAAGTGGTGGTTCCAAGCTTCTTTCCCCTGGGACCAGAGTTGGAAGTCTCTCCCACTGTGCTTTTTCAATAAGCAATACAACGTAGAGTGATCTCCGTCACTGTGTGTAGAGATACCTTTAATTCATTTTGAAACCTGCATGGAAATGATTGTTCTACTTTTTATTAATTATCTAATTTATAAATATATTCAATAAATTCCCTATTGATAGACTTTGGGTTGCTAGTGCAAACAGTGCCACAAGGAATAGTCAGTGTGTGTGACATTTTATGGTTTTACCAGTGAATCTTTAGGGTAGATTTCTTGAAGCAGGATTTCTGGGTCCAAGGGTCAATATATAGTTAATTTTGCTGGAGATTGCCAAACTCCTCTGCTAAGAGATTGCATTACTTTGTAATCCCACCAGTCTGAGAATGCTGCTTACTCGCAGCTTTAAGCAAGTTTTCAATTTTGTCAAGTATATGGATTTGTGCTAATCTGATAGGTGATAATGGCCTCAGGTGTTTTAATTTACATTTCTCTTATTATAGCAAGGTTAATCATTGTATCATAAATGTCATGGGCATTTGAACTTACTTGGAATGTGTGCGCGTACTGGATTTCTCTGCCGCCCTTTGAGTTAGGGTATTGATTTTTTTTTCTTTTCTATTTATTGGGACTCTGTATTAGGAATGTTAACTGTTTCAGTGATACAAGTTGTGGATAGACAAAACTTTTAAACACTGATTTTATTTAAATAGTAGTATGAAATGCAAGATTTACAGTCTACATTATACATACCTATTCTTTCCAAGTTTTGAAAATAAGGCAAAAATAAGAATGATGGATACATGATACGCTTCTTTTCCTTTATTAATTTTTCTCCTAACTCTAATTCTTCCCTTCACAGATTTTGCTTCCTACAGAGAGAGAAATGAGTCTAATTGTCTTTAAATTTATCAAAATTTTCACCAAGAATTCATAGCTAGCGTCATAATTAAATCTCTGTGTGTAGTGAGCGTTCCCACTTTTAGAAACCCAGCCTCCTTGTTTGACACATTAGTAATTGTGACCCAGAGAAGTGACTTTGATTCCCTACGGCCCCAAACTGAGTAGCGGTTCATTGATCCCCACATGACCCCTGGTGGGGGGGTGCGGGTCTCAGTCCTGTGGGTACTAGTTGTGACGCACTAGGTGCTGGGAAGGCTGCGGTGCATTAGAAAACAAACTTTCCATTTTCTTCTCTCATTTTGCTTAAAATCTACTGGAAAAGTAGGGCATTCAGGTGTATAAAATCACATCCGCGGGCTCCCATCATTAACTCTGCTTGACTTGATCTTAAAAGCGAGAGGAACGTGGTGATAGATCCTGTAAGACTGGCCGCAGTTAAGTTCAGAACCGAGTCCTGTCCCCGTCTCCCCACAACATACATGTAAGTGGTTTCCGAAGAAGTCAGTGTTGCTGTTAGCATCATTTAATTTTAACCACTGCTAAGAATACCAAGCATCAGGCAGTCACTTTAATTTCATTAGTGTTTTTGTCTGTAATTTTCAGATTAATTTTGTAAGAATTCCTCAGAAGATGAGTGTGGGGAGTGTGATTATTTGTACCCCTTGTAAGAGAGAGAAATTTAAGGAGAGAAGTTAACCAACTGTTTCCATTAGAAACAGATAACACACTGAATTTAATTTGTGCTTTCAATTATAATATGTTTGAGGAATAGAAAAGTTTTTTTGTAACCTGAGCATATTTATGGGTATATAATACACACTATGACACAGACTTATTTCTCCTTGAAGTTATTCATTTAGAGTACTCACAGAGGAGAGAAAAACTGATGTGACAAGCTTGTTATATTTGTTCATGCATTTTAATGAGTTTTTGACATAAGCCCTACCAAAAAAGATACACTGTAGTAAATGACAAGTAATAAGAGACTGTGCTTTAATGCAAGTAAATTTGTTATTTTTGTTAGGTGGTGAATCAGACTGCTTAAGGCATTCCAGTACTGTTTTCTTTTCCCAACAAGTCTTCTTTTCATTTTGATAGAAAGTATTTCCTGACATTCTGGGAGGGTATTTCTTGAAAGAAATATGAAATGAGCATTGTTCTTAATAAGCTTAATTAAAAAATAGAATATGTAATCCAACATTTTGAAATAGGGTACTCATTTAATTTCTGTGTTTTCCAGATACTTAACATGATACCATAATTTTCCCCTTTGTTAGCTCTAGAATTTAGTGAAAAGGCAGGATGACAGATTTAACCATACGTTTTAAGTTGGAAAACATGGTGCGGATTTTAATACAATTGAATTTCAATTAAATTGAAGTTTTCCATATTCTCTACTAGAAAAAAACTTTCAAAATCCTTGCAGTCAAGCTCTAGTTTCTCTCCTGTCTCATTTTGTCTTTCCTCTCTCTTTCCCATTTTCTTTTCTTCAGGGGATTTTCATTTTTATTTATAGTCTAAATTTTTCCAAACAGATGCCTGGAGTGCAGACCTCTCCCCTGTGTTCTAAATGTCTACACCTAGCTTCTCAGCAGGTGTTCCCAAATGAATGGGACCAAGAAATTTCAAACACAACATATACAATACTAAATGTTTACACTTTCTGTCCAAACACCCGCGCCTACTGTATTTCTATCTGTTGTTCACCTGGTCAATCAGTATAAATCTGTGACTGTCCTCTTTCATTTATATTAATAATTAGGTACTTTTCTTCCTCCAACTTGTTTCTTAAATAGCGTGATTATCCCTTTGATAAAGGACTCCATTCAGGTATTTATTCATGACTCGGTGATGTGTTTTAATCGGTCTATAAACCAGTCCCACTTGCTGTTATGAAAGTTTTTCCCCCTTAATAGAAGCCATGTTACCTTATTCTCCTGTGCATAAATCTTGTAGCTTTGCAATGTGTACAAGATGACGGACAAACTCTGCTTCATAACACTCAAAACCCTTCATGTTTTGGCCCCTGTTCAATGTCGGTCATAGCCTCCCTCATAGGTACCTTATAAACAAGTATGTCCTGAGTCTGCCTGGTGCTGGCACGAGCGACCACGGCCGTTCACGTGCTGCTGCTTCTCGCCCTCGGCAAGTGACTCTCCCTCCTTTTAGGCGCAGTTGTATTGATAACGCCTCTGAGGGGGTATCTAAGGTACCATTTCCATTCTCCAGAAGAAACTAATACTTGTTTAAAGTGGTGCTTCAAACATAAAACAGTTTACATACGTAAAAATAATTCTTATCACACGTTACCCTACTTATTTATAAATAAGCTCACCCTCTCTCAGTGCAGGACCCGATCTGGTATCCCTAGCGTGGGGCTCACCTTCCTGATTGTCACGTGATGAAGGGAGCCTCGTGGAAAACCAAGATGCTCTTTCCTTTCCTGTCTCATCACCTGGTCACGTGCAAGCCCCAGTTTCTGTGAGCTTCAGTGTTTGCAGCTGTCAAATAGGTTTGATTTGACATGAATGCTCCTTCAACAATAAAAGCTGTTGTTTTTTTTTCTGTTGTTTCTTTGATCTTTGGTAATCTTGGTTGTTTATTCTATGCAGACAGATTTTTTTAAAGTTATTACTGAAGAGTAGAAGCATCAGCCTTGGTGAATGTTAACACATCTGATTCATTTGGGATTGCTTTTGTTTGTTAATAAGACAGTTTAAAGAATCATACATGATTTTAGCATTAAAAGTGAGAAGTTAGAGAAAATTTTAAAACTACTTGTTACTGAAATCTGGGACAGACCACTTGGCAATATTTAATATGTTCTGGTGTGTGAAATATAATACAGTCTTTCAAGGAGCTCATTTTCCCAGTGTGGCTTTGTTCATCTTTCAGTCTTGCTGTAGAATACCAACAGATGGGTCAGATCTTTTATAGTGTGTATGCTCTGGGAATGGTCAAGAAATTGAGGTGAAGCAGTATCATATGTTTTATAAGGTGAGGATCTTTCAGGATAGAGTTACCCAGCCTGAGGCAGCACCCAGGATGATTCTGTCCTTAATAACATCATCTGTGATCACACAATGAGCTGTGTGCATGTATTTTCTTCCTTCCCTTCTTCCTCCTTCTTCCTCCTCCTCTTTTCACAAATAGGTTTTCAAGTGATGAGTAAAATAATTTTCAAGTACTAATTTGAAGTAACTATTTCTTTATATTGGTATTATATAGTGCCAATGTACTGCTCATCCTTAAACTTTTATTTCTTTTAATTTTAGTTTAGTTAGGCTACAGAGAGTTCCTA